CAGCCACATCCGGAGCTAAGGCCAAAAACTATGTAAGCCAGACTTTTTAAAAATTATATTTTGAATAAATATTTCAATAATTTTTAAATCATGTATAACTTAGTGTCAGCTCTAGGCTGCTAATGGTCACTTACTCTGTTCATCAGATAAAGATGGTGTGGTTCTACAAAAAGCAAAATAGACTTGAGGTAAAAAAAAACATATATATATATATATGAGATTTGATCTATGTGACCTTTGGTAAGTTACTTAAACTCTATAAGTCATGGTTTCCCAGCTAAAGAGTAGTGGAAAAAAATGATATCTATATTACTGAGGTTTTGTGAGGGTCAAGTACATAAGACTAAAGGAAGATTGAATGTTAAAAGAAACTTACACATCATGTTTAAGCAAATATCCCAGAAAGAATGGCATATATTACAGAGTATTAAAATTGTTATTGATTAATAAAATGATGGCCGTATCTCCTACTGCACAAAACCCTTACAAATAACCACTATGAACTCTGCACAAAATATAGAAAAAAACTACCTGAAAGCACTTGAGGGAAAAAAAGCAAGCAGACATTGAAGAGGGGGTCAACATTTATAAGAAAGAATGGCACTGAGCAAGGATAGACCCCAGTCAACACACTGAGTACACAAACACGGAAAACCTGAAGTCTTAGTGGTTAAAGCCTAGAAGACAGAGTATGGAGTGACCACAGCAGCTGAAAAGTGAGGGTGAAAATCCTAGGGAAAGAGAGAGCCAATAGAAAGTAAGCCTTACTCCATATATTAAATAGTCTTCCTAATTCTCTGACTCTGAAAAATATATAGAAGGGCAAAATCCAATCAGCACAATGAAGGCTAAGCAAATAAAGACCGTTCAGAGTTTGAAGTTCAGGTTAGCTGTCTGCTAAAAGAAAAAAAAATATTCTTCTGAAAAACAAACATGATCAAGGGAGGTCTAAAATACATCATTCATAACATCCAGGACACACAAATAATTAGTAGACCTATGAGAAAACAGGAAAATATGACCTGTACTCAAGAGCAAAGGCAATCAATGGAGACCACACCTGAGATGACTCAGATACTGAAATTAACACACAAGGATTTTAAAGCATCTATTACAGTTATGGTCAAGGATATAAAGGAAACATGCTCATAGTAATACAAAATCTTAGCAGAGAAATAGAAACCATAAAAAATGAAAATTCTAGAACATAAACATAAAATCTCTGAAATTTTTTAAAAATCCATTGGATGGGAGTGCCTGGTGGCTCACTTTGTTAAGAATCCAACTTCAGCTCTGATCATCATCTCATGGTTTGTGAGTTTGAGCCCCACATCAGGCTCTCTACTATCAGCACAGAGCCCGTTTCTGATCCTCTGTCCCCCTTGCTCTCTGCCCCTCCCCCCTCACATGCTGGCTCTCTCTTTTTCTCTCTCTTTCAAAAATAAATACAAACTTTTTTTAAAAATTCACTGGATGAACTTAACAGTAGATTTAAGATGAAGAAGTCAACGAACTTGAAAACAAATCCAGTAAGAACAGAAAACATAAATTGGAAAAAAAATGAACAGAACTTCTCAGAAATCTGTGGGATAACATCAATAAGTCTAACACGTGTCAATGGAGTCCAAGAAGAGAAGTAAAATGATAGAAAGAATATGTGAAGAATAATGACTCGAAACTTTCTAAATATGGTAAAAGACTAAAATTTACAGGTTCAAGAAGCACAGAGAGCCCCAATTAGGATAAATACAAAGAAAAACTACACCCATAAACACAGTAGTCAAACTACTGCAAACAAAACACTAAAGGTAAAACCTAAAAACATCCAGAGAAAAACAACCAATTACATATAGGGGATATAATTTGAATGATAACTAACTTCTCATCAGAAACAATGGAGGCCAGAAATTAGAAAAATGATCTTTAAAATGCATAAGGGGAAAAGAAAACTGTCAACCCAGAACTCTGTATCCAGAAAAAATATAAGAACAAAGGAATAATAAAGACATGTTGAGGGGCGCCTGGGTGGCTCAGTGGGTTGAGCGGCCAACTTCAGCTCAGGTCACGATCTTGCGGTCCATGAGTTCGAGCCCTGCGTCGGGCTCTGTGCTAACAGCTCGGAGCCTGGAGCCTGTTTCGGATTCTGTGTCTTCTTCTCTCTGACCCTCCCCCGTCCATGCTCTGTCTCTCTCTGTCTCAAAAATAAATAAACGTTAAAAAAAAATTTTTTTTTTAAATAAAGACATGTTGAGATAAGGGGCACCTGCGTGGCTCAGTTGGTTAAGCCTCCAACTCCTGATTTCCACTCAGGTCATGATCTTATAGTTTATGAGCTCAAGCCCTGTATCGGGCTCCACACTGTATTCTCAGTCTCTCAAAATAAATCAATAAACTTTAAAAAAAAAAAAAAAAAGACATGTTCAGATCAAAGAAAACAATTCATCATCGACAAACCTAAACTACAGAAAATGCTAAAAGATGTTCTCTAGGCTAAAGGGAAATGATAACACATGAGTATTCAAATCACCAGAAAGGAATAAAGAGCACTTTCTGTTTATGCCTCAAAGTGTGTCTTTTAAAATGACTCAAAGATTCTGATTAAAGTGCTACTAAATGGGCCTAACTTCTTTTCCCAACTTCACTTTCTCAAACATACATGTATACACAGCACCAAACATGCAGGGATGGGGAGATATTCAATAAGTGGTATTCACATATACAAGGATTAGGTGCCCAAAGTAAACTGTAGATTCTCTAGTTCCTGCAAGGTTTTTCCACACTGCCTATCTTTCTCAATGGAGATACTGAGTTTATATACTCTATAAATATAACCACTTTTGTTAGTCAATATTTTGTTTCACTTACTATAAAATGAAAACTGCAAACATTAAACATTCTGAAAGATAACTCATCAGTTTCTATAAATGCTTCAGTATATAACCTTTTCAAGGAACAGAATTCTATTATACACTTGTTTTTACCCTGAACAATACCTAACAGAATGCTGGGCAGAGTGAGTGTTTAACATTTACTTATTGTTTTCAAATAGCTTTCATAGTTAAAATGTGTTGTATCCAGTTAAGTTTAATCTCATCCCAAAAGTTATACGGTAGTTTTACATTAATTTAGAAGACTAGGGATGCCCAGATGGCTCAGTTTGTTGAGCGTCCGACTTTGGCTCAGGTCATGAGTTTAAGCTGCGTGTTGGGCTCTGTGCTGACAGTCCAGAGCCTGGAGCCCACTTTGAGTTCTGTGTCTCCCTCTCTCTGTCCCTCCCCTGCGCGCTCTCTCACGCACTCTCTCTCTCTCAAAAATAAATTTAAAAAAATTTTTAAGTTATAAGACTAAATGTGGAAATGGAAATTTTTTCTCCTGGTATTAGAGAAGGCTATTGTTTGAGGACTCATTCATTAACAGCTGACCCAAGGAAAAGAAAAGGTAAGAAACTGAAAAAGAAAAGAGAATCTGATGGAAAAAGTTTGATTATTTCCAGAAGTTCAACGTAATCTTATTGTCCTATTTACTCCTAGGACCAAAATTTACTTCTTACTGTAAGGAGTAATGCAAAAAACTATTAATATATGATTTGGTTAAAGTCCTTTCCCTATTTTTTAATCAGGCTATTTTAGTTTTGTTATTGTTGAGCTGTAGTTCCTCCTCCATTCTGGATATTAATGCCTTATCAGATACAGACATTTCCCTGAAGAAGATATACAAATGGCTAACAGGTATATAAAAAGATGTTCAACATCACTAATAGAGAAGTGCAAATCAACACTATAATGAGATTATCACCTCACACCTATTAGCATAGCCGCTATCAAAAATAGAAAAAATAGAAAATGTTGGTGAGGACATGAAGAAACTGGAAGAAACCCTAGTATACTATTAGTAGAACTATAAAATGGTGCAGCCAGCCACTATCAAAAAATGGTATGGAGATTCCTCAAAAGATTAAAAATAGAGTTTACTATATGATCCAGCAATCCCACTTCTGGGTATACATCCAAAAGAGATGAAAGCAGGATCTTGGAGAAATATTTGCAAACCCATGTTCACAATGGCATTATTCACAATACCCAAGAGATGGAAGCAACCCAGTGATGGATAAACAGAGAAAATGTGGCATCTGCATACAACAAAATATTACTCAGCCTTTAAAAAGAAAGAAATCCTGTCACACAGCACAACAGACAACATGCTACATAAAATGTACCAGTCACAAAAAGACAAAAACTCTGAGATTCCCCTTGTATGAGGTATCTAAAGTAGATACCTGTTTCAAATTTATAGAAACAGAAAATAGAACTATAGTTCCCAGAGGCTGGAGAGAGGAAAATGGGAAGTTGTTCAATGGGGAAAGAGTCTCAGTTTTACAAGACGAAAAAGTTATAGAGATGCACAAGGTGAATGCTAGTTAACACGATTAAACTGTGCATTTAACAATGGTAAACTTTATGTTTTGCTTTCTTCCTCTTTCTTTCCATTCCCTTTCCCTCTACCCAATCTGTCCCAAACTCAAAATATATGCACTGAATCAACAAAATAGAGGAAGGAAAAATGAGCATTCTGTTCTTCTCCTCCCTTTGCAGTTCTCCACAAGAAGCATTAGTTTTGGTTCAGAAACAGTGAGGGGAAAATTGGAGGGAAGCTCAATTCCAGGCTTCTGATTTGGGGGAACCAGAACATTTCTTCCAATTCAGGTCAAGTTGGCAACTCTACCAGGCAATAGGGAAACGTATCTGAGTACTCAAGATCTTTAAAGCCCAATGAGAAATTAATTTAAATAATAAAATATTACAATACTCTCTCATATTCATAGTTAATATACCAAAACTGATCTCAAAATAAAGGAAAGAAAGAGAGAGGGAGGGAAGAAGAGGGTACGAAGGAAGGGGGGGCAGGAAGGAGGCAAAAATAAGAAACAACACATACATATGACATTTTCTTTACTAACCAATGAAACAAAAAATAAAAAAACATATCTCATAAATGAATAGCTATTCCATTAGAAAATACTTCATTCTACAATCTCTTTCAGCTGCTATTCCATCAATTTCATCAGGTTTTGTTTCTTCATTTCTGTTTGGATGCAAAGTCCCATAATAAACAATAAGAAAAATAATTCCAAGGACCAGACTAAGAGCTATAGTGATACTGATAGGTATAAAATAGTCTGAATTAAAAATAGAGACTGGGCAAACCCAAAACACAATTGATATCCCCACTGTGACCAGTACCCTTCCAATATAATAACAGAACATTGGATATTTGGTGTTCTGTCCCTTAATATTAAAAAATGTAAAGGTAAGTATGAATCCAACAACAACTCTGTATAAGAATTCCATACTTATAGAAGCACAAAACTGAGTTTGCTTTTTAAATGCCCACAATATCCCTAAAAACCAAAGAAATAACAACAGAAATAATGCAATCTTAACATTTATGAACAAAAGAAGTACAACACTCAGCATCCAAGATAATAATGTAAACAATTTGTAAAAGAGGTATGTGAGTTTAGGACAGAATCCATTAAGGAGATTTTTATCAGGCAAGGATTTTCTTAAAGCTACTTGATAATCAACAGTCGACCAAGAAATAGCACAGCAAGAAACCATGATGGCAGCATCTACAAAACAAAAAATAAAAACATATATTGTTATAGGAATAATAATAGCAATATCAAATTACTATATGCCATACATGCTTTATCTGTATATACACATGCCCACAAACATGTCAGGTACCTTATATATTCATTTCATCTAATCTTTGAAGTAGAAATTAATATTCCCATATTACATATGAAAGAATTGATGCTTAGAGAATATACATATTACTTGACCCAAGTCACACAGCTAGCAAGTTGCAGAGATCTGAAGCTAAATCTGCCTGAGGGTTCCAAAGTTGGTTTACTTAAATGCTGTATTAGACTGCTTTATAAAATTTTAAATAAATTCACTGCACAAATCTTATTGAGCAACTTATATAATGAAAACTGCACACTCTAGGGGCGCCTGGGTGGCGCAGTCGCTTAAGCGTCCGACTTCAGCCAGGTCACGATCTCGCGGTCCGTGAGTTCGAGCCCCACGTCGGGCTCTGGGCTGATGGCTCGGAGCCTGGAGCCTGTTTCCGATTCTGTGTCTCCCTCTCTCTCTGCCCCTAGCCCGTTCATGCTCTGTCTCTCTCTGTCCCAAAAATAAATTAAAAACAAAAACAAACAAAAAAAAAAACGTTGAAAACTGCACACTCTAGAAGTTCTCTAAGAGACTACAGTTACAGTCCTAGTCTTTCCAGTCTTTTTGGCTTTGACCTTGGACATATACCTAATTCTCCAAGAGACAGCAAGATGGGGGATGGGGGTAGGAAGGGAAAGAGGAAAAGAGGGATGTTAAACAGAAAATTTAATGTCAGTATAAGGTATCAACAAGCTTAATTTCCATTTCTATAAGACGAGTCAAATGAGCAAATATATTCTAAAACTTACAAATTTCTATAGGTTTGACATCTTTGTCCCATTTTTTCCCCAACAAGTAACAGAAGAGTAAGTTCATTACTACTGTAAAAAGGTATGCCATTAGCCCCATTGCCAAAGCTGAGAACTTTAACAGAACTGAAAGCAAAGACATTAGAGAGTTAGAATTTAAAGCAGACTACAGAATGCTATTCCTTCCCATTTAGCCTCATTGGAGGTCTATATATTATGATAAAAAGGCAGACTTAAAGTAAACTGACCTATTAAAGAGGATTATGATGATTATAAATGCCTTCATCTACCCTCCTGGTTTTAGCATATTCCACTCTGGACCACACAATCAGCTGGACTTTTTTTCTTCTTCTTTAATTCAAACATATTTTAATTAAAGCATCTCTTTCCCCTAAATTTTGTTTTTTTCTAATTAGTTTTATCTTCTACCAAATACATATACATAACAATTGAACAAATAAACAAAAACAAATTAATACACATATATAACTTAAGTCAGTAAGTACTATAAAACTTATAAGAAAAATACCCTGTTCTACCCGCCTCCTCACTTCTCAGTCGCAACCCCCAGAAGAAATCACTATCAATTTCTAGTTTTTCTTCTGACACTTATTGCCATATTTGCAAATAAAACACACCTATTCTATTTCATAATTTATCTGCTTTAGACAGTACTTACTGATTTTCTATTTGGAAAGAGAAAAACTTAGCACATATACACATATATGCACATGCTCCTTGCATTTTCCTCTCCCTCCATCTGCCCAACAGAGTAACATCACAATTTTTGGTAAAAGTCTATATTCGGTGTTTATCTTACTATAACTACACAAGTAGAGCTTTTTTTTTTTTTTTACTGCTCAGCCAAGTATTACATTCATTATATTTTCTTTCCTTTAAAACTGCCCATTGCTCCTTTACTTGTTTAGTTTTTTATAACTGTATTAATATTTCTTAGGAAAATCTTCAAATTAATAAAACTCCCCTATATATATATATCTATCAGTTCTTATTTTTTTAAGAATATAATCCTCCTGGTCTAAGGTGGTTGTTCCCAAGGTTTGCTTCCTGCCTTCCAAGAACTTCCCTTCACTTCTCTTCGGTGTTGACTTCTGTTTCCTGTTCTCATGTTTCTTTCTCGCTTTATTCCCGTGTTTTTACCAAGCATTCTCCAGATATTCCTGAGAGAAGCTGCATCTAAGCAAAAATTTTTAAGACCATGTATGCCTCAAAATGTCTTTACTCTACCTTCAAATTTGATACACAGTTTTGCTAGAAATAGAATTGAGTGTTTAAAAATGTTTTCCAGGGGCGCCTGGGTGGCACAGTCGGTTAAGCGTCCGACTTCAGCCAGGTCACGATCTCGCAGTCCGTGAGTTCGAGCCCCGCGTCAGGCTCTGGGCTGATGGCTCAGAGCCTGGAGCCTGTTTCCGATTCTGTGTCTCCCTCTCTCTCTGCCCCTCCCCCGTTCATGCTCTGTCTCTCTCTATCCCAAAAATAAATAAACGTTGAAAAAAAAAATTAAAAAAAAAAAATGTTTTCCATTAAGGGGCGCCTGGGTGGCTTGGTCGGTTAAGCGTCCGACTTCAGCTCAGGTCATGATCTCACGGTCCGTGAGTTCAAGCCCCGCGTCAGGCTCTGTGCTGACAGCTCAGAGCCTGGAGCTTGTTTCACATTCTGTGTCTCGTCTCTCTCTGCTCCTCCCCTGTTCATGCTCTGTCTCTCTCTGTCTCAAAAATAAACGTTAAAAAAAAAATTTATAAAAAAAAAAAACGTTTTCCATTAAAATTCTAAAGTCATTGCTCTATAAGCTCTAATTTCAAGTACTAGGGTTAAGAATTTCAATGCCATTCAGTTTCTCTATCCTTAAGTAATCTTTTTTTTTCTCTCAAATCTTACAGAAAGTTATCTTTATTCTTGCTTCTCTGAATGTTATAATGATGGGCTTGGTATGCCCATTTTAATTCATGCTTTCAATCTAATAACCCACATCCTTCAGTGATATGCTATTTTATTCTTTGGTGGTTTCACTACAAATCACAATATGCATATCAAATATATCAAAGTTATAAGTTAATGCTCTACCTCAGAGGTGGATTTACAACAATGGTAATGAAGCTTAAATTTCAGGGACTCACACTTGCCCAGGTTCCTTCCAAGCCTAGCAAAGCCCTAGCAATGTGTTCACTTTGTCATATATTTTTATAAGATTCAGGAAAATAAAACATTTTAATTGAAGTTGATTAAAATTCCTGTCTCTACCCCTACTTACTCTCTCTTACATTTTCCCTTGCTGTATTGAAGTAGTTGTGGGTCATTTTGGAGATCTGGCTAAAGGGAAATTGAGTTGAGAATACATTAAGTGTAGGTCTGAGGGACATGTTTATAAGATCTGTTTCAATAATTAAGATTAGTAAGTGACAGAGCTAGAATTCTGTTTGCCTGATTTTAACACTTCACTAGATTGCCATCAACAGGCCTTTGACTATGTAACAGGAAGGCACGATGATCTTGCCTCATCCAGTAGACGTTATTAGTTTGACACTACTTCCCATTTCTTACTAATCTATATGCTCTAACATATTTTTCTTGTAATTTAGCTAATGTAACATTGTATTATACTCTATCCAAACTGAATTCCTTGTCTTTGCCAAACCATGTCTTTGCCTATGTATTACACATACACAGATCCTTATTAATTTCTTTTTGATTTGACATTATTGACACCGGTGAAGAAAACCTAAGACTCTCAATATTTACTGAGCCATCAACAATAAACTAATGTTGTCAATTCACACAATATTTAAAATTAGTTACTTCATCTAAAAAAATTTTATATACTCTGATATTATAGCACATTATTGACAAAATTGCCAGGGTTTTTCCCAAATTTAACAAAATCAAAAAACTATGCATATTATTAATAATCTATGACATTGAATGAAGCTTTTCTAAGTTAAAATAAAAAACAAATTTCAATCAACTATGCTAAAAATCGGATTGAAATTTTCTATTCTCTCCATAAATATTATAAAATGATTATCAAATCAAGTCAGTCAGAGAGTACATGCCAAAAAATTTAGAAGAGTATCAAAATAATAAAAACATATTACTTTTTTCTCTCTTGTGAAATTTATAGTATTTGTCACTTTTCTTATATCTGTAATTTACTACAATTTATTTTATTTTTTAAAAATGTTTACTTTCGGGGCTCCTGGGTGGCTCAGTCGGTTGAGCGGCCGACTTTGGCTCAGGTCATGATCTCGCGGTCCGTGAGTTCGAGCCCCGCGTCGGGCTCTGTACTGACAGCTCAGAGCCTGGAGCCTGTTTCGGATTCTGTGTCTCCCTCTCTCTCTGACCCTCCCCCGTTCATGCTCTGTCTCTGTCTCAAAAATAAATAAACGTTAAAAAATTTTTTTTTTTTAATGTCTACTTTCATACCTTTTATGGACTGAACTGTGGTCCTCCAAAATTCATATGGTGAAGCCCTAACCCTCAGTGTGACTCTGTTTTGAGACAGTGCCTTAAAGAGGTAATGAAGATTAAATGAGGTCACATGGGCATGGCTCAAATCTGATAGGACTAGTGTCCCTATAAGAAGAAGAAGAGACACCAGAGAACTTTCGCCACACACAGAGGAAAGGCCATGTGAGGACACAGCAAGAAGGTGGCCATCTGCAACCCAGAGAGCCCTTACCAGAAACCAACCCAAATGGCACCTTGATCTTAGACTTCCTGTCTCCAGAACTATAAAAAATATATATATTTCTGATGGTTAAGCTATAAAATTCTATTATGGAAGCCTACACAGACTAACACAATACCTAATTTGTTTACATATTACATTCTTTTTCTTAAATAGGGTCTTTCTAAATGTTTTAGCTTTACACTTCAAAAAACCCAGATCTACCTTTGCTTTACCTTTTTTCTGGACTACACAAGGAACTTAAAACACTTTAGCTCATTATCTTTTACCGGACTTACACATTTTTGCTGTTTTATACTTTCATTCTATCTTTTTCTTAACCACATAGTATTATTTTCCTCTTATACAATCTTCATGTAGATTTACCCACATATTTACTATTTTCTTTCCTCTTTATTCCTTCTTGCATTTCAGAACACCTCCATTCTGTATGAAGTACATTCTTTGGAATTTCCTTTAGTGGGGATATGCTAAGGTATGAATTTCTTTCTACTTAGTTGCTTGTGAGATAAAGGGCTTCCTGAATCTGTAGGTAAGTGACTCTCATCAGTTCTGAAATTTTTTCAGCCATTAACTTCTCAAATATTGCCTCTGTTCCATTCTTTCTCTCTCCTTCCCAGACTCTGTTCAGATGTATATTAGACCTTCTCATCTCTTCTTCCATGTCTCTTAATATCTCTTACATATTTCCCATCTCTTTGTCTCTGTAAACTATAATCTGGATAATTTCTTCTGATCTAGCTTTGACTCACTAATTGTCGATACAGTTGTGTCTTATCTGCTAAGTTTTCATTTTCAATTCTTAAAATTTTTAATTCTCAAAAATTCTGCTCTTTTGTCAAATACACAATTCATTTTTTTTATTTTTTTAATGTTTATTTATTTTTGAGAGAGACAGAGACAGAACATGAACAGGGGAGGGACAGAGAGAGAGAGGGACACAGAATCCAAAGCAGGCTCCAGGATCTGAGCTGTCATCACAGAGCCTGACATGGGGCTCAAACCCACAGACTGGGAGATCATGACCTGAGCTGAAGTCAGACACTTAACCGACTGAGCTACCCAGGCACCCCTACACAATTCATTTTTTATAGCTTCCTATTCCATATTTTCAAGTTCATCATTTACCTCTTTCAACATAATAGGATGTATGTCATACATACTTGGCAACCATTAATTTCCAATATCTAAAGCCTTACTACATACATTTTTTTCTATTTCTGCTGATTCTTACTCATGATGCCTTATTCCTTCTGGTGCTATAAATTATTGTAAAACATTCATTCTCCTTGGAAAACTGTGAAAATTATTTGAGGCCTAAGAGAAAGTGAACTCCTCCAGGGAGGATTTATACTTGTTTGTGCTAGACAGGGTCACTATCAGTCTGGAACCACTTTAACCTATATTCATAGGTTATAGGCTTTTATTGGTTTGTTTTTGGGGGGGGGGTTTTGTCTTGTTTTGTTTTTTGGACTAACCAAAGGTGAGAATTTTGATTGCACAATTGTTACAGTGTGATGTTTACCTTCTCTACTCGGCGCCAGGCAATATTCCTTGCTGTCTCTTCAAAGTAGAGAGGGAGGTAAGTAACTTCACACTTTTATCTTGAGGAGGGTACGTTTTAGAGTACCAGTTTTACAGATTAGAATTTTCTACCAGATGTCCTTCCCTTGTGAGGACTCTGAGTTTTGTCTTCAGTCTTCCACACACTGGAAGCTATTGAAACTGAATCTATTATTTATAGGTTTGGTTAAAACCTCCAGGTAGGCCTTCAAAGTCTTACTTAACCCTGCTGTGTTCCCACTTTCACATATTTTGGCTTGTGGTATCAGATTGTTTTATGGCTTTAGGAAGGCTTTTGAAAATATTTATCCAATTGTCTTACATATTTTCAGAGAAAGGATTAATTCAAGTAATTTAGCCTTTCAGTGGTAGGGTTTATTTAAATAATCTGAGTTTTCCATCTGCTTTCCATCTTCTAAACATTTGTTGATATTTCTAATCTGCTATTCTACTCTGCATTCTCTTTGTCCTTGTGGGTTTATATTGTTTTTACTCCTTTACTCTCCTTTTTAGTATAATTTCAGGAAAGTGAAAAGATAAAGAATATGTTCAGTCTTCTGAAGTACTTCTATATATAACCTGATTATTTTTTACATTTTGAATTATTCTTCCTGATTGTCAAAACAATATGTGATTTCTGCAGAAAATTTTTAAATTCAGAAAAGTATAAAGAAGATGAAATAAAATCACTCATAATCCTACTACCCAGAAGCAGCCACAGTTAACATTTTTGCATATTTTCTTCCAGACATTTTTATATAATGATTTCTTTGTATCCTTAAAAGTATGCTGATAGAAAATTTCATAAACTGCTTTTTGCCTAAATTTTATTTTATTTTTAAAATTTTTTTTTTCAACGTTTATTTATTTTTGGGACAGAGAGAGACAGAGCATGAACGGGGGAGGGGCAGAGAGAGAGGGAGACACAGAATCGGAAACAGGCTCCAGGCTCTGAGCCATCAGCCCAGAGCCCGACGCGGGGCTCGAACTCACGGACCGCGAGATCGTGACCTGGCTGAAGTCGGACGCCAACCGACTGCGCCACCCAGGCGCCCCCCTAAATTTTATTTTAGATTTACTTTCTTGTCATCAAAAGTTATCTGTAAGTACTATTTCTTTTTTTTTATATATCATTTTTTATACTAACAGTGTACAATAATTTATTTGCTAATTCCACTGTTAGCCAATTAGGTTTCTCATTTTTGCTATTTTTTACTAATACCTCAACTTCTTACTTCATGAAGAAACTAAAGGATGAGGATAGAACCGTAACATAGAGCTAGCTGTCATTTGAACCCATTGCTAGTCTGGATGCTGTGTACTACTCAAAATCATCAGAAGATCCACCATAATATAGGCTGTAAATTCTAAATGTTGATCTTCCAGCTTCAGGAACTATATGATATAGAACTTTTAAGCCCAAACCCACAAAGTCTTTGTATCACAAGGAATAAAATGTCTCATAAGTAGGTTCTCTTCAATCTCTTACTATCAAAGGTAAAAACATTAAAAAGGGCTGCAGTCTAAAGGTTTATGGGAAACCAGAAACGGGAAGCCTGGGAGAATGAACTGATCTCATGGGTGACTCTACCACAGAAAGAACTCCAGGGAAGATGATAATCTGTTCCTCTGAGATGAATCATGTCTGCACAGAACAATAGTCATTATTGAAAACTGGGTCTATTATTTACCAAGTAGGTTTTTTTAATATCTAAATTAAATACCTAAAAAGGTTTTTTTTTAATGGAAATACCAGATTCTGGAAATTCCCAGAAGTTACCCTATGAATAAACTTCACACATGCAAAATGATGACTACATAAGATTACTCATTGTAATTTTACAATAGTAAAATATTAGAAACAACCTAAATTAATGTAAATTTGGGACTTGTTAAATAACTCATTGTACATCCATAATTTGTAATCCTATACAGATAATAAAAATGAATGAGGGAGCTCTTGCTGTACAGATATGGATAGATTTCCAACACATACTGTTAAGTTCAAAAAGCAAAGACAGTTTTTATGTTTACCATTTCTGTAAAAGAAACAATAGGAAAAAAGGATATGGGCTTTTTAAAAATTTTTCTGAAAGAATCATCAAAAAATTGACAATAATAGTTTCCTTTCTGGGCAGATGAAGAAAAGGAATGGGAATAAGGGAGAGAGAGACTATGTCTTCATATACTTTTTGATATTTCCACAATGTACTTCTTTTCAAAAAAAAAAAGAATAATTCTAAAAAGAAAAAATGTAAGAAAAATTCTAAAACCTGCCAAAGAGCTGTGTAGTTGACACAAGATCTCAGTGTATTCATTTAACATAGGGTGTGAGGAAAGACTTACACTGAGTGAAATTTGCTTGACCATGTTCCAGAAGGGTGTAGAGCTGCAAAACAAGCTGTGGGCAGCCTTCCAGGTAGGTCTCAAACAGCCTGAGCATGCTCAGATCAGTCATTCTATCTATAACTTCTTTATGCTGATCAATTTGTTCTTCCATGAAGTTATCAGTTTTGCTGCTGTATTTGAAAGCCACATGATAACCTTTTTTCAAGGCAAACCAATACCTGTAAACACAAACGTTTATCTCCAGTAATATATTCTTTTTTAAAAAAATTTTTTTAATGTTTATTTTTGAGACAGAGAGAGACAGAGCATGAATGGGGGAGGGGCAGAGAAAGAGGGAGACACAGAATCGGAAGCAGGCTCCAGGCTCTGAGCCATCAGCCCAGAGCCTGACGCGGGGCTCGAACTCACGAACCGTGAGATCGTGACCCGAGCCGAAGTCGGACGCTCAACCGACTGAGGCACCCAGGCGCCCCTCCAGTAATATATTCTTTATAAATGTATGTTAATATACATAATAATTTTGGAAAAGGTAACATGTTTAAGTATAGAATTTTCATACAAACTTTGTCTACTACAAAATTTCTTTCAATTCTGAATATTTCATAGTGGCTATATTGAGATTCAGACTCCATAAACTTTAATTGCATGTTTGATTTGTAGTTGTATGCTAGCACACATGCTAAGCATACATGATCTCAATTCATCTTCACATTAATTATAGGAAATGAGTAGGTATTATTCCATTTTCACAGATGAGAAATCTATGGCTGAGAATGTTAGAGTGATTCACTGAAAGCTATGCAGAGCATAAGAGGCAGACATAGACTCCAAACGTAGATCTTAAGATTCCTAGTCTTAACCACTACTTTCTGAAAGACAAATTGCAATTTTCAATTCATGCAATTTATCTTAAATACAAGACAGATACATGGTTTTATGATAATGTCAAGGTTGAAGATAAGACTGAACCTAGCAAACAATTACTCAATATCTGCAAAGTGCTACGTTCTTTGACCACTACCATCCTAGAAAAAAATGTAATTTCTCAAAGACTTTTAAAACATTCTTGCTCAAGCTCTTTTTAAAGAATTTTAAAATGAACATGATTTTTCACCATGCAAGTAAAACTAATAACAAAACATATTGAGACACTTATTTAGAAGAAATCTGGAGCTAGCAACAAGGCAACCAGGATTCTAGCCCAAAGCTTATCAAAACTCTTTATCTATTCCTCAGTTTCCTCATATATAAAATAAGGGCAGTGATATATACCTTCTTTCAACCTGCCTCTTCTGTCAATTTTTCCCATTTCAGTAAATGGTACCAACATTTACCATGCTGCTCAGACCAAAAACACGGAAATAATTTCTAACTCCTTTCTTTTTCTCACAACCTAAAAAAATTCCTCACCAGGTTCTCTTGGTTCTTGGTTCTAACTTCAAATATATCCAAATCTAAACACATCATCACTTCCACCGCTTCAATCCTAGTTTAAGCAGCCAACATCTCCAGTCTATATTACCTCAATAGTTTCATAACTGGGCTCTCTGATTCTATTGCTCCCAATGCATTCTATTCCATAGATAGCATCTAGGTTGAACCTGTTAAACATAGTTCTGATGTCACTCTGCTCAAAATGTTCCAATGATTTCCATCAAACTTAGAAAAAAAAACAAAGTCTTACCACTTTTTACATAGCCCTTCATAATCTGCCTCACATGCATTACTCCCGTTACCTTTCCATCATATTTTTCTCACACTTTTGGTATTCTCTTCTTGCTATTTTTTCCAATTTAAAGGCTTTATCTTTGCTACCCGCCTCTGCCTGGAACTCTTCTGGGTAAGATGTGGCAGACGCTGCTCCAGGAAGTTCTACACACGTGTGGCACCATCTCCTGTGAACACCCATGGGAGGTCATGCCTGATCTCTACTTCTACAGAGATCTTGAGGAAACTGGAAAAAAGAAGCAGGCTACTGCTGAAAAGGATGTGACCAAAGAGAAATTTTAGGGTGAATGGACTGCTCCAGCTCCTGAGTTCACTGCCACTCAACCTGAAGTCGCAAAATGGTCTCAAAATCTCAGGTGCCCTCAGTGAGGTCAGAGAGGTCTTTTCCTGCTTTCTCCTCTAGGGTTTTGATGGTTTCCTGTCTCACATTCAAGTCCTTTATCCATTTTGAGTTAATTTTTGTGAATGGTGTAAGAAAGTGGTCTAGTTTCAACCTTCTGCATGTTGCTGTCCAGTTCTCCCAGCACCATTTGTTAAAGAGACTGTCTTTTTTCCATTGGATGTTCTTTCCTGCTTTGTCAAAGATTAGTTGGC